GTATATATACGTTTTACTCCAGAAGTAACTAAATACAGATACTCGTTACTTCATAAAAAATTAACCCAAATACGTTATTGGTTCCATCTCTTAACAATTTACTAGGTTGTTACTTTATTACCGAACAAAGTGACTAGGTACAAGTAACGCTTTACTTGTAAAACGTTAGGTGCAAGTTTGTTTAGAACGCAGAGCGCTGTAAAGTTTCCTAAAGGAATAAATCAAGGTGTCTGACGTGGAGACCGGCGGACCGACGCTGTCTGGCCCGCTATGAGTATCTGCATTCTTGTAGCTTGAACGGTCCCCAGCCATCTCTCAATTTGTTTAAGATCTGCTGCCAGGTCTTCAGAAAATCGCTCCCAGCTTTTGATTCTGGTACGCACAACACTAGTATCAGCTGAACATATACATTGAGCGCATATACACATTCACGGCACAACAGGCATGAAAAATATACAACAGCACACCCAATAACTATTTCTGAGCTCTGCGTTTCCGCCTTTTATACAGGTCGTTTTGCAAGTACGGAGTTTTTCGGTGACCACCTAAGCAATAAATATTATTTTCAGCATGTTGATTTTTTTTTCAGTAATGTCATACCTCTGATAGTATTTTAAACGGCTCAGGGGATGAATCTCTTAATAAAAAGTAAATGCTCATGCCGTAATTATTTGAAAGCCAATAAATCAAGCCGCTCCACTGCGGTTTCAAGCCACGTATTCGCTTGCCCGCGCGGCACGTCGTATGCTGAAAAAAAAAAAAATTCTGATATGTTTATTGGACACATTCATATCAGTTGGCAAATGTTGGATATCAGTTCTTATATGTCGATATCAGTTTTCGGGTATTTCATATCAGTTCTTATAGACGCTTTACACACGCGCCAAATTACAGCCGCCATTGCTGACCTTCTCTTGTCTTACCGAGATGCCGAGCAACTGAAACGGTAGTTGACGACCCTCTACAAAGGCCGATGCTTTAGAAAAGGACACAGTTGAATCTAATAGGGCAATAACCTGGCCTGCTATGGCAATGATGAAGTGAAATAAACGGAATATGAGGAAACAAAAACTGAAGGTCAGTTATGGCGGCGTCCATGCACAGCTGCTGCAAAGCGTCTATATGTCCCATATCAGTTTTTGGCTATCTCATATCAGTTTCATATATCGCATATCAGTTTCATATTTCGCATATCAGTTTTTGGATATTACATATCAGTTCTTATATAGATTCATATGATTTTTTTTTTCAGTAGGCACCAGCAGTCCGCTTAGTAAAATCAGCGCTTTTTTGAGGAATTTAGCTTTTTTTTTTCAATTGTCTCTGCATTTGATAATGTCAGCTTTATGCTGCTTATGCCGGCAACAGAATGTAGCTGTCAAGTGCCAATTTTTACGTTTAGGAATTAAAGGAATGGAATGGAACTATTCAGCCATTCCAGGAGTGGGAATGGGCCCAGTGTCTCCATTCCTAGGAATTGAAAGGAATGGAATTATCGAAAACTCTAATTCCCCGGAATGGAATTGGAATGGAATGGGGTTTCCCATTCCGGAACACTGGAGTGAACTAGGTTGGGTAAATCTGTAGTCCACGTTTTACTCCAGAAGTAACTAAATACAGATACTCGTTACTTCATAAAAAATTAACCCAAATACGTTATTGGTTCCATCTCTTAACAATTTACTAGGTTGTTCCTTTGTTACCGAACAAAGTGACTAGGTACAAGTAACGCTTTACTTGTAAAACGTTAGGTGCAAGTTTGTTTAGAACGCAGAGCGCTGTAAAGTTTCCTAAAAGAATAAATCAAGGTGTTTGACGAGGAGACCGGCGGACCGACGCTGTCTGGCCCGCTATGAGTATCTGCATTCTTGTAGCTTGAACGGTCCCCAGCCATCTCTCAATTTGTTTAAGATCTGCTGCCAGGTCTTCACGAAAATCGCTCCCAGCTTTTGATTCTGGTAAAGTACCGTGTGCGTGGGAGAATAAAGGATCTTGTTTTTCTTGCCGTAAAAATAAACTACGCATCTGGTTCGAACTCATAGCGCAACATCCGGGCCTGCAATTTCAGCCTTGGCACATATGCGGTGTAGGCGGTTGAAAACAGATGCAATAACTGCAGAACATTTCATTGTTTGATCCAAAAGTTATAAGCGATTTTTAGAAACCTGTTATTAGAAAGTATTATTTATTTTATTTTATTAATACTATTTGCCGCCGTGGGGAAGCCAAGGTAGAAAAGATACACCAATCAACGTTTACGATAAAGCTATTTTAATACAACATTAAAATATAATAATATTTTTTATTATTTAATATTTAATAATAAATATATTACTATTTTAATTATTTAATTATTTTAATAATTATTGTTTAATATAATAAAGTAACATTTTAACAACTCCCAAGAATACAGGAGGAATACATAAAGTGTACAATACACGCTTTCGGAAACGGGCCCTATTTGTTAATTAAAATTTTCCAAAACCGCATACATTTTTATGAGATCGTTGTAAGTTTTTATACTTTGGCATCTGCTGTCAAACGCTAGCGTTATATTTGACCAATATTAATAGTTCGGCGAGGAGTAGTTTATTTTTGCTGCAAAATAACATGGTTCACTTTTCTCACACTTACACTGTATTCCCTTGAATTTATCGCAAGTGGCCTTGATCACTAATCGTGAAACTTTGGAGCGAATTAATGGTGGTTGAGTCTCTCAAGTTTTGTCTCGGCTCCACCCGGTGCTCAGCTATAAAACGCTATTCACTTGCTTACCTAATGACTCTTAATTATGTTCTTGGCTTTACCGGATGTTTCAGCTGTTACTACTTTTGGATATGGAGCCTCAACGCACCGACGTAAGTAGACAAAGTTTGTCCAATGGTATATGTTATACCATATCAGCGTATTACATAGTTTATTTGGTATGGTACTTCTAGCACTGCGACAATATCCGCACAGCTGTACTAAGTTTATGATTCTGAATGCCAATAATTACTTAGCTGAAGTAGGACGATAATAGCAAATGGGTTACGCTCTGTATTCTCGTGCGAATGCGATATGTTTTTAATAATATCCGAATGGTTCAGCTTCTGGAGATGAATTGAAAAGAAGATGTTTGACATTATCGTAACAACTTATAAAGCAAGAAAAAAATATAAATATAGTATAAACATTGCTTGACAATGAAGTTGATGGATTTTTATTTTAATATAAAACAAAATATAGCGCGTGGCGAAGAATAAACACAGACACACACACACACGCACACACGCACACACACACGCACGCACGCACGCACGCACGCACGCACGCACGCACGCACGCACGCACGCACGCGCGCACACACACACACACACACACACACACACACACACACACACGATCGGCTCCTTCAGCATCCCATAGCTGAATGAAAAATCGTGAAATCTTCTCGAGTATAATGTTATACATGTGAGATTTGATACCGGGATGGTCCGATGAAACCTCACCGGAATAAAAGAAATTAAAGACGTCCACAAATCTCTGTAGCGCGAAATTAGAGCTCAGCTTTTGAGGAGGAGGAGGAAGGGAGGGTACGGAGGGGAGGGTATGATCCTCCTCGTCCTCCGTACCCTCTCCTCCTCCCGTCCTCTTCCCCTCCTGATCTGCTCTTTGTCCTCCATCCTTTACTCCTCCTCTCCCCTCGCCTCATCCTCCTCTCCCCATTTCTCCCTCCCCTCCTCCTCCTCCTCCGCACATTCCCCTCTTCCTCCTCTGCACGTGACGTCAATTTTCCTGCTAAATCTAGCGGAGAAACTGAATTTGTTCATAGGTGACGTGACACCAAGTCATGTGACATCATTTTCTCCGCTAAATTTAGCGGGGAAATAAGTTGGTATTGAGGTCACGTGACTTAAATTTTCCATTAAAATTTAGCGGAGAAACTGAATTGGTATTGAGGTCACGTGACTTCAATTTTTCCTCTAATTTAGCGGAGAAACTGAATTTGTTAATAGGTGACGTGACATCATATCATGTTACGTCATTTCCCCAGCTAAATTTAGCGGGGAAACTGAATTGGTGAAAGAGTTCACGTGACGTCAACTTTCCCGCTAAATTTTGCGGGGAATTGAATTGCTGTTGATGTCAGGTGACGTCGATTTTCCCGCTAAATTTAGCGCGGTTACGCCGACGCCGATGGCAAAGCCGCCCCACCCGGAAATGGGCACCCAAGAGCTGCGCTTTAAAAAAAGATTAGTGCTATACTTATTTACTATAATCAAGAAAATGACTACGAATAATAAAGGAGATAATACTTCCAATTTGGGACGGGCCTTAAAAGCTTTTGTAAATTGCTTTATCACTTAGTACGTACCTCTTGAGGTGTTGAACGAGCTACGTCGTATTGAGCTTAAATAAAACAAAAGTCCAAGTTCGTGCTCTTGACTGGCGACAATACTAAAAGGCCGCGTTTTTCGATAGAAGATTTTTATTGCGAAAGCATTGGGCGCGTTTAGTCCGTGCTCAGGAGCGCGAGAGTTCGGCGCTCCTTTCACTAAACGGACAGGAGTGCCAACGGAGACTGACACTCGAGCCCGCTCTTCGTGCACCGAGGGGACTTCGCTCAACCTCCGTCGAGAACGGACGTGCTCTTGGAGCTCTCCGTCCTCGCCGAGTTCCCCCGCTCCGAAACGCGAGCCTCCAGTATAAACATCGAGAGGCCCGCTCCCCGGTCGGCGGCCCCCGATTTCGCCTCGCCGAGCCTGGAAGCCCGAGATTCCTACCCCACATGGGTGGGGCCGACACCAAACGGATGCCTACGATGAACGGCATCCATTGAGACCACACAAGTCCACAAGTCCCGGTGAGCCCACCACTTTTAACATTATCAGACTCCTAAGACACAAACCGAAACCCGCCCAGCTAAGCCAAACGACGAGCACGGCGGCCGGCACCGCCCGCGCCATCAGAGCGCAGCTCTCGACCCGGCAACAGGCGGACGCTTGCCCCTAACCATCATGGAAAGTAGTCAAGCATTATCCCAGCGCCAACCGACCAACCGAGATGAAAATGAACGCGCGGCCGATCTCAATGGGAACCCCAACCCAAACAACGACGAGTCACCCAGTAAAGATGCCTCGCATCAACAACAGGAGAAAACAAATAACTTCTCTTGGACGGACGTAGTCAGCAGGCGAGCCCGAAGACAACAACTTCAATCCGAGAGGGAAAAGGCCGCTGCTGCCGAGAAAGCACCCAACCACTCCACAAATCCCCGTAGGAGAGCAGGTGATCACGGCTCCCCCTACACTCAGGAGAACCGGAGCCGCCGAGCACAAACACAAACGTTGCACCAAAAAAGGCTACCACCCCTCCCGATCGACGACTACAAAGTGGTCATCCGGCCGAGAGACGGTCTCAACCTCGGAGCCTGGAGTACGGACAAGCTCACACGAGCCATCCTCGTGGCATCTAAACTCTCGTCCACCGAAACGAACGATATCACTATAAGAATCCGCCGTGACCAGAACCTGGCGATCATCAGCACCCCAAGACTAGAGACATCCTCCCGCGTACAAGCAATCTCGGCGCTAACTCTCGAAACCAGGCAATACGAAGTCACAGCATACCTGGCAGTCCCCGACAATTCATGCAGAGGCATCATCTCCGGTGTAGACACCAGACCGACAGCCGAGACACTCACTGAGGAATTACGTGCCCCCGGGACCAACATCTTGTACGCCAGAATGATGGGACAGACTAACACTGCCATCATCACATTTGAGGGACTCAAGGTACCCCACTACGTGTACCTATCGGGCGGTGAATACCCATGCAGACCCTACCAACCAAGAAAACAAATATGCGGCGTTTGCCTGGGCCTAGGACATCGCACCGACGTGTGCCCGCAACCGGAGAAGAGCCGATGCACCACCTGCGGAACACCTGGCGGTGCCATGGAAGATCACCAGTGCCAACCCTACTGCATAAATTGTGGCGGTGAACACCCAGCGGTCGACCCGCGCTGCCCGGCCCGACAGAGAGGACCATACAACAAGAAACACGTCCAACAACACCAACAAATGCAAGGACGACAGAAATCACCCCTACCACCGCCACCGCCCCCACCGCCCCAACCAAGAAGTGCAGACCCTCAATGGCCGAAACTACAAAGCAAAACCTGGGAAGATCCTAATCCTTTCATCTTCCTGGCCGACTCCACACCGCAAGATTGCCACGAGCCCAGCCCACCCACAGGACACCCGAAACACGTCGGCAGGAATAAGTCCCGTTCCAGCTCGAGGTCACAAAGTCGGCCCCGGACATACGGAGAGACGCAGCGAACGGACCAAAGGGGAAAACAGAAACCCACCCTCCCCGGGGATGACCGCAACGAAACGAAGGTAAGCTGGGCAGCGCAGCCTCCTAACCCTCCCTACGTCCCCACACTCGCAGACGCTCCCTCCCCCCACACACCAGTACCGGACCCTATACGGGATATCATCACAAAGCGAACAATCATGACAGCAACCGACACGCAGACGACAGCACAACCAGATTCAGACACGTTCGCAAAGACCAAGGAGCATTTTGCCCAATCCCTACAGAGTTTCCGAAGAGAAATTCAAGAGGAGTTAAAGAACTTCCGAGAAGAAATCAGGGCCCTCACCAGACAACCCATAGAAGAGCTAAAGGAAGCACTCCGACAGACACCACGCGAGGAGAAACTCGCACCCGCCGAAAAAATACGGCAGGAAATAACACAGGACATACAGGAAATGAAACAACAAATAATACAGCAGATTGCTCTACAACTCCCCCAACTCATCCACGCCGCTCTAACAGACCACCGAATCAAGCTCTCTCAGGCAGAGCCGAACCTCCCGTTGCACACGGACACACACGGTGAACGCGATCATCGTGAAGCGAGACGAGTACACCCTTACCACCGACCGACTACCGAAGCCTCCTGTGTCCCTGCTGTAGCGGCACAATCCGACGTCTCTCAACGCCAGCCCCAACACGAAGACAAACACTAGGAAACAAAACAAAAAGCACTCTCCCCCTACCGCCCCCGTGATCTCTACGCGAATCTGGCAATGGAACTGTAGAGGGTACCGACGCAAACGCGGAGCCCTCACACAATACCTCAGCACCCACACACAACGCCCCGACGCCATAGCCATACAAGAAACCAATTGCGCCCCCAACCTGTCTGGATACGAAACATATGTGCAGAATACAATCCACGGAGATACACCGCGAGTAGCGACTCTGGTCGCAAAACACATCCCCGTCATAGAGCATACCATGGACAGAAATGTAGACATCCCACATGTTCTTCTGGAGCTCCTCCCCCAGAAACGCGGAGGAACCAGCCTCTTCATACTGAATATTTATAGTCCCCCCAAGAGTGGCAAGAGAGACACCTTCGACAACATCTTCCTCGACGCGATTCGAATAGCCCGACCACGAGAAAACACCTTTCTTATAGTGGGGGATTTCAACGCGGCACACCCAGCCTGGGGATACGAACATGAGACAGTAAAGGGACGGAAGTTAGCTACGACTATATCTAGGAACCAGCTAACCCTCCTGACCGAGCCTGACCAACCGACAAGGCTGGGTAACAGCGTAAACCACGACACGAGCCCGGACCTAACGCTCGTGCGTGCAAAAAAGCCATGTACCTGGACAAACCTCCAAGAAAACCTGGGGAGCGACCATTACATTCTTGAGACTGAGATCCAGACCCAGATCGGCCGAGGCCACGGACGCACACAACGACTCATAAACTGGGACGCCTTCCGACAGCTAAGACCACCCCCGGAGGGGGAAACAGCAGAAGCACACCCACCCCTAGCACAATGGATCCAGGAACTTAAAAATGACATTGACAAGGTGACTACGCAGGTGAAAACCACAAGTGCAGCCCCAGTTATAGACCCACATCTACTCCACCTGTGGGAAGCTCGCAGGGGACTCACCCGGAGATGGAGAACTCGCAAACACAACCGAAAACTCCGAAAACGCATAGCAGAGCTCACCTTAGAGGCAGAACAGTATGCCGAGGAACTCACACAAACCAACTGGTACAAACTTTGTGATCAGCTCCAAGGAACCCTCGGAACCAAACGGGCCTGGACTCTTCTCCGAAGTCTCATAGACCCAACAAAAACCAAGGCGGCAACATCCCACGCAATCACCAAACTTCTTCACCGAGAAACACGAAAGGAAAATGAGCTATGGGACGCTCTCAGAGAACGTTACTTAGCAACTGGCCCTAAACCCAAATACTCTTCATACCCGCACAAAGAAGCCACGCATCCCCTTGACACAGACATCACCGAATCCGAAGTCCGAAGCGCACTTACAAACCTAACCCGGAGCACGACACCAGGTAAAGACGGCATTACATACAAAATGCTTAAAAATCTCGACGACGGATCCATCACCGCCCTTACGGCTTATTATAACGAGGCTTGGAACACTGGTACGCTGCCACAAGATTGGCGACATGCAGACATAACCCTCATACCCAAGCCGGGCAAGCCACTCTCCCTCGAGAATCTTCGCCCCATATCTCTCACGTCATGCATAGGAAAACTCTTGGAGCACATAGTCCTTAAACGACTCCAACCACACCTGGAAGCCATCAACTTCTTCGCAGAGACCATGTTCGGCTTCAGGAAAAACCTATCCACCCAAGATATACTTCTCCAACTTAAAGAAGACATCCTCGACCACCCAGGACGGGCACAGACAAGGGCGGTTTTGGCTCTTGACCTCAAAGGAGCCTTTGACAACGTGTCACATGACGCCATCCTGGAAGGCCTCGCCCGATCCCAATGCGGAAAGAAGACCTACGAATACATACGAGCTTTCTTATCCGACCGAACCGCCACCTTGGGGATCGGCGATCATCGATCCGACCCAATCCTGCTCACGGGAAAGGGCACTCCCCAAGGTTCAGTCCTCTCGCCAACACTTTTTAACATTGCCATGGCAGGGCTTCCTCATCTCCTCGCCAAAACACCCAACATCCAACACGCACTGTATGCCGACGACATCACCATATGGACCAGCAAGGGCTCGGACGGCCAGATACAAGACAACCTTCAGGAAGCAGTAGACACCACCCAGAAATTCGCTATAGCAGCAGGACTCAGCTGCGCAGCTGAAAAGTCTGAACTCCTGCTCATCCGAGGAGCACGCAAAACTAATGAACGGAACAAGACCACAGACGAAATCACCATACACCTTGAAGGCACCCCCATACCAAAAACCGACCGTCTAAGGATACTTGGCTTGCACCTCCAAGCCAATGCAAAAGCCACCCATACCGTGCAGCTGCTAAAGAAGCAATGCATCCAAATAGCCCACCTCATACGCAGAGTCGCCAACAAAAGAGGCGGCCTCAAAGAAACCGATACCATTAGGGTTGTGCAAGCACTTCTCATCAGCCGAATAATATATCACGCCCCATACCACAAACTAAACCAAACGGAGCTAAATAGACTCAACATCATTCTCCGCACAGCGATTAAAACGGCCCTTGGACTCCCCCCGTACACCTCAACCCAACGATTACTCCAACTCGGCCTGCACAATACTATTGAGGAACTGATCGAAGCCCACACAACCGGACAACGCACCCGTATGAGCTACACAAAGACAGGACAACATGTCCTTCGCAGACTCGGCTATCAGAGCTTCGAAATCCCAGAGCACACCATCAAAGTAGGGCCAGCTCCACCCGCAATCACTGCCAGGATACGGGTCATGCCACTCCCACGAAACATGCACCCAGAGCTCAATGCCGGAAGGAGAGCGGCAAGAGTGCGTGCTCTCCAACGACTACACGGAAACGACCCATGTACCTTTTACACTGACGCGGCAGAATATCCCGCACCACATAAGTATATGAGCATAGCCGTCTGCGATTCCAACGGTCAGAACAGGACAACGGCCTCCCTTCGAGGCAAGCTCCCCACCACCACCTCGGAAGAGGTAGCTATTGCATTGGCCTTAGCTCACTTATATCACACAATCAAGGATCATGAGGTTCCATGCACTATCATCACCGACTCACAAGCGGCATGTAGAGCATATGCCAGAAACTCCCTCTCCCATTTAACATTACGAATTCTATCACCCCTTGACCCCTCCTTGCTACCACCGGTCCGCATTATATGGACACCTGGTCATGCTTCTCTTCCCGGTAATGAGAGCGCACACGCGCTCGCCCGAGAAATAACCCACCGGGCATTACACGAAGAGAGAGAGGAATTTAGCACCAGACACTACAGCACCAACCTTCCCCCAGCCCCCCTACTCACTTACAATAATGTCACAGAATACTACCGCTCCCAGCGCAAAACCCTTCCCCCCCACACAAGTCACTAACCCGGCAGGAGGAAATCGCATGGCGCCTACTACAGACCCACACCTACCCAAACCTATTCCATAAACAACGATTCTTTCCCACCAGGTACCCAGACATATGTCCGGGTTGCCAATCCCCACAACCCACCTTGTACCACTCCACATGGACCTGCCCAACCCCATTGGGAAACGGCATCAAACCTATCCCCCATCCTACATTCTCGTCTTGGGAGGCTGCGCTGACCAGCACAGCGCCTGACGATCAGCGACGGCTGATTGAACGGGCCAAGCGTATAGCAGAAGCCAACGGAGCCCTGGACTAAGGGCACCGCCCAAGAACGAAGCAACGACCTCACTTCTTAAATAAAGTTTTTCTCTCTCTCTCTCTCGTGCACCGAGAATTTCTCGGAGCGCGAGTGACTTCACCGCGCTCCGTGACGTCACGTAAACAAACAAGATGGCTGCGCTGCTGTTTAGACCGTCGAGACGAGGGGCGCAGCCGGACCGCTGCCTGCTCTCTTTCAGTTGATTAGTGCGATAAGTGCTTAATGCAGCAGGTAGAAGCGATTTGATTTGAAAGCCAAGACAGCAGTTAGCGTTCCGAAAAAGGTTTGTTCGTGCATCTCGCCTGAAAAGGAAATTCATCTATCAAACGGTAGCGTGCCGACAGCACAGCCGCAGAAAAGTTGTCGAGATGAGGAGCCATTCGGACCGCTCTGTCCCTTTTATAAGGCTTAGCACAGCGAATAAAGATACTTCGATTTGAAAGCCGAAACATCACTGAGCGTTGAGGAAAAGGTTCGTTCGTGCATCTTGCCTGAAAAAAATTAATCTATCGAACGAGCGTGCCTGTTAGCTCGGCGACAGAAAAGTTGTGAGGAAAAGACAGTAAGACCGCTGCCCTGCTTAGAATGCTTAGCTTAGCCGCAGCGAATAAATATACTTAGATTGGAAAGTCGAAACACCAGTTACGTTGCGGGAAAGGTTTGTTCATGCATACTGCCTAAAAACGAATTGACGTGCTATCGAACGACGGTGTGCCGGTATCTGCGTAGCTTCCGTCTCGCTACGAGACGGAACCGTGCGGAATCTCTGACAAATTTGAGGGTTTCTTGCGTCGACGAGCGGGTTTAAGAATGTTGTCTTTAATTTAAATAGGAACAGCATGCATGGTCAATAAATAGATCGGCCAAGGTAACCTTCCACATATGTGCACCAAGCGAGCCTTCAAACTTTTCAGGAATATTAAAACGTTCGTAGAAACTTCATAACGTCGCCGTCTCTTTTGCTTTAGACTCTGCCGCTCCACACGGGCCTTAATTGATTTATCTCCGAAATGCTTTCGGCTATTGCCACCCGTATTTACAGTTGGAAGGAGCTCGTGTGGACCGTCGGTAGTTTCTGGCCGCGTTCCAAAACTTACTCGATCCAACTCTATAGGGTAAAGGTGGTTATCGAAAACCTACCGGCGTCCAGCGTTCCTCTGTTTTTGCTGTCACGTGACATAATCCGCCAGGGTAACTCGGATCCACTCGAGTAGGTTTGGAACGCAGCCTCGGTGAGTCGCGCTCCTGTACGCTATGCATCGTTTCGTTGCTGCGCTCGGAGCATGATACTCGGAGCGTCGGAGTAGGAGCAAAGGAGTTCCGACTTAACGCGCCCATTAACTGTCTCATGGAGCGAGCCGACGTCACCAGCTTTGAAACCATGCAAAACGGCCCCTTAATGAAACCACGCCCAAAACTAGCCAACGGCACCTTTTACACTTCGGCGCCATTGGCTGGCGCGCGTCGACGAAACTTCCATTGGCCGCTGCGCGTCAGTTTGTGTGCTGTCATCCTGACTGTGTTATCACACTGTTGTGTTATCACTGATCACCGCGTTTGCTGGCCTCTTATGGTTTGTACCGTTCTTGGCAATATATACGGCGCATTGAATAAACCAAGGGCTTCGTTCTGCTAGGAACTACGTTGCTATCCGTTCCTTGCTCGCACCGCAAGGCACACGACAGTTTGAACGATCGCTCACCCGATGGCGCTGCGTGTCTGCGAGGCAGTGGCTCCACCGCTCCACGCCCATGGCCAGCGAATTGTACGCCGCAGGATAAAGAAGGGAGCGGAGAGCGGCGTGCGTGCTTTCGCTTTCACAACTCATAAGAAGTGCTTAGGTGTACCTCGAGCCTTTTTCATTCTTTTCTGTCTCTTTCATTGCAGCCGATGTAATGCAGATTGGTGTTCACTTTATCTACAACCACGAAGTTCAGGAGACGTTTCATAAAACACACCGTGACCCCAATTTTTATTTTACTGTGCTTCTCAATGCCGTAAGTAAGACGGATGACTTGCCTCATCTATAGGATAATGGCTAAATATTAGACCGGCTTCCGTAAATAATTTCTCGAGAAAGTTATTATTTCGGTAAACGTTTACTTTTATAAAATCAGGTCTATTCACGATTGCCCACTGATATGTGGTGATATTGTTCGTGAATGGTTCTGAAGCAGTGGTGTTTAAGAGGGCTTTCTGCATAATTTGCATGGTGCAATACTTATATAAGTTTTCTTTTCAGTTAATACTTGCGTGACGTGAAAGCAGTTCTAATGTTTTTGTAACCTTTTGTATTTAAGGTGGAAACTAGATTGGCCACTATTCCATACCCGTTCATTGAGCTCACATTGGTTGGAACCAGCGCGATTAACGTAAGTTTCAAGCCAGCCTTGGTATTAGTTAGAAAATAAAATTCCATTAGGTACTTCATGTTTAATAAAATGTCTAATAAAATTCTTAAAAAATATTTACGAGAAAATTAAAGACAAAAATGCCGGTCTTCTTGCTGTGTTCTGCCAATGACTTGAGGCTTCAGCCGAAGTGCTGCCCATCTGCTGTATACCGACCACAAACAATCATTCTCCATCGACATTCAAAATTTGGAAAATGTTTAAAGATGCAGATTGTCACGTGAAGTTACTTGCCGCCATTAAAAGAATTTTGACAAATTATCTTATGTCCAAATTGGAGCTTGCTTTGCGAATATTAATTTTGTTTGAAAACAAAGTCGGCGATAGAGTGACAATGGTTCAGCTGCCGTTCCTTCTGGGTGAAGCGTTTTAAGGTTTTCTGCAAGAAATGTTTTCAAATAAAACCTTCGCCTCTAAGTACGGGAGGAGGCATTAAAGCAATTTAGCTTGCATATCCCGTACAAAAAAACAAGAAATCAAGAGGTGCCTAGGGTAAGCTTCATTTCACTGCGTAATTACTCCCAAAAACGAGAAGCGACGGCGCAAAAGGGCAAGGAAAAAACGGGGAAACACTCAAAAGAGGAAAACAACAGCACCTTTCGACTTTTTTTGAGTGGCTTCCCGCTGCACCGTTGTCATCGTACTCCATTGCTTCCCATTATGAATCGCCAACTCCACGAAAAGCTAACAATACTCTGGAAATTCAATTGGAAACGTAAATCTTTCGATCCAGAGGCACTGAACGCTTGCGGCAGTACATGGGCCATACCTAAAAGAATCATCATGCGAAGAACATGTGTCAGTTTTGTTAAATCTCAGTGTAATTGTTGATGTGTTGAGTCCAGTACGACGACTTCTGACTTCGACGCGTGTTTTTCGCTGGCCGTACCAGATGCTCTTCGTTATTTGGCCTTAAATTTGCCATGTGTGTCGCATTTTATGCAGGTTTTTGTTGGGACCTTTTTCTACATAGCCAACGTAATATATGTTAACCATTATCACTATTTTGTAGAAGTACAGTCATACTTATAACTGGACCGAACGATAAGCCTGGCCATAGAATGCATAATTTCTTATTGGCTCTTTTGTGGTAATTTTTTCCTAGTACCAAGAAACATGGCTTTTATATGATGACCTATTACATCCCTGCTACTATAACTTCTCTCCACAAATATTAGCTCAAATGCATATACGATTTTTTTATGCATTAAAATTCACCACAGTGTTTTTGTTAGGTGTGGCGTGTATTATACATTGTGTTTTCACAGGAGACAATTTTTTGTGTTTTCTACGCGATGGTAAATAACAGCATGTTCGCGAGAAAGAAAATGAATTATAGTGAAGATCAATCTAAATTTTCAGATTTTATCTTCGATTTAATCTACTATTACGTTTTCAGGCAAGTAGAGAAATATTTTGTTGGTGTGAAACATAAATATTATGCGTCACGAACGATGTCTATGTTTTGGGGTATGTTTAAGGTTATATGGTTATAATGCTATAACCGTATAAAAACTACACCGTTTTAACTTGTAGAGCAAAAAGTTGCGTAGCAAAACTAAAACAAATTAGATGCTATAAAATAATGCTTTTATCTTATCTGCCGTAGCAGAGGCCAATTACCACATAGGCCTTTACTACCGGTTATTTGACAGATATTGATGTGTCCAATAAAGCTGTGGGAACACATAAAATGATTTCAGAACGTACATACCGTTACTCGATATTTGTGTATAAGTTCCGGTATGTTTATTTGACAGACCACACAAGTACATGCTATTTCTTTATTAGGAATTTCATATGTGTTCAAATACTTCTATTGTGGATTTGAAAGCGTGCACAGAACATCAAATTTGAGAGAAATTATTTTGTTTATCCTTAATACAAAACAGCACAATTAAGAAAGCACCTTCTCGAAGAGATTCGTTCGCGTGTGAACCTGCGCAGTTTTACGGTAAAAGTCAAGGTTAACTATGGGATCCACTACTTGTTTTCCAGGAATCCAATGCAATAAAGACGCCCAAATGGAAAAACAAAAAATTTACGAGAGCTCTATGAAGTATTTCACACGAAACAGATTTGATCTCGGCTGTCCGGACGCCACATTCTACGTTACAATGTAATTATTTTTGTAATAAGACGTTCCTGTCGTGTTGGTTCATCACTTACCGATGAAACAATAATATTTTTTTTATTGTATATGCTGCAGTCTACTTTCAAGCGCTGTTGACAAGCATTAAGAACTACGCTTCGTTTTGAGTTCTATATTGCACAGGGAGGAGCTAGAGCTTTATTTATTGTGTTTCCCCAATTCTCTATGACCAGAGCTCACAAGAACATGTCGATATTATAATTATAAAAATGACTTCCTCTGATATCAACGTTGAGTTAACAATAAATGCACGTCACATCATTCCTCTGGCGATATTGTATTAAGTGTCGATCGTGTCTATGTTCTGTGTGTCGGCTAACTCGATCTTCCGTTCTCAGCTACCTAGGGGACTCCGAGGCAAGGCGCAGGCCTGCAGATCCCCCATGCGGCGGGTTCGAAGCCCGGCCGAGGTGCTCCCATTCTGACGGATGTTTTTCGCGGAGAAGATACCGTCTAACCGAGCATCCGGTTACACGTCACAGGATTTCGTGGTTATCGTAATTGTCCTCAGTCCTCCGCTGGACCGTGCCGGATATCATATTTGGTTTGGCACCTAAGACACACAGATTTGACTTTGATCTCTTCCGCTCAGAACGACTGTTGGCTGACTTTTGTTGTCGACATTTCGCTCTTGTTTGACTGGAAAGTCTTAATTAGGGCTGCTGGTATACCGGTTCGACTGGAACAGCGCAGCGTCGTACTTAGCCTTAACACTGCAAAACCGGCGACTGTCTGTCGCCAATTTTATAAGTACTGTGAAGAAAAAAAAATTGGGCTCTATGTATGTTTATAGAGCCAAACGCTTGGTCTGCCTCAACGGTGTGGGAACCATTGGGTTCCCTCCATCCCTATCTAGGCCTAGCTTCAAGCAGGCCGTGGGAGTCGTCGTCACCAATGGCGTCGGCCTCCCGGATACAAGGAACCACGAGGCCGAATTCCCCGAAGGGGCCGGTTCTCCCTTGCCCTTTTGGGTGAACGCGCCATCGGCACACCCTTGGGAGTGATTATGGACGCGTCCCGTTTTCGAGTGACCTTCTACCGGCCTCCCCGGGCGCGTCTATTTCCCGCAGGCTACATAAGCCGGCCACCCACCTGTGGCCGAGGCTCTTGGTTAGGGGGGGCTACGCTCGACGGAGCATTCATCGTTATTTTACTGTTCCCCCTTTTCCGTGATCCTGCCAGTTAAGGCAGCGCGGACCTTTCTCCTGGTGATCCTGTCAATTAAGGCAGCGCCAACCTCATTTCTCTTTTGTTCCACCTACGGGCGTAAAGCGTGTGGCGTAAGCCTAATAAACACGTTTCTACGATATCCCTGTGTTTCGTGTGGTCTCCCGTCCATCGGAGCCTAACGGCAGGCAACGGACGGACCCGGCCGTAGCCGCCATAGCAGCGACCTACGGAGTGGGTGTTGCCTCACAGCGATCAGCAAGGTAAGTCGAAACCCGCTCTATTGCAACCGCCGAGTTAAGTAGTGGGTATTTACCTCACTGAGGACTTTGGGGTAAACTAGAATCCCACAACTGGCGCCCCACGTTGGGCGCCAGATGTGGGATTGCCCTTTGTGGTTGCCACTTGAAACACAAAAGGTTTCTCGGTTCGGATAAAGACGTGTTTATTGACTGCAATGTCAGCACGCTTCGCTCTTAGACAATGAAAAGTCTGGGCGCTGGCTCAATTGCCAGTATCACCCGGTCGGGTTCCCGCGCTGCCGCATTAGACAGATTCACGGGAAGTCGGAGGCCCACAAAGAAAAACCGAGCTCCGTAGAGCCAGGGCCTCCGCCGACGAGAGCCTCTGGCCCACCTTCGGGGCCAGCTTATGTAGCCTCGGAGAATGGACGCGCCCGGGGAGGCCACTAGCAGTCGCGTCCATTATAACTCTGAAGGGTGTGCCGAAGGCGCGTTCACCCAAAATGGGCAAGGGAGAGCCGGCCCCTTCGGGGAATTCGGCCTCGTGGTTCCTTGTATCCGGGAGGCCGACGCCATTGGTGACGACGGCTCCCACGGCCTGCTTGAAGCTAGGCCTGGATAGGGATAGAGGGAACCCGATGGTTCCCACAACGGACGACGGTGCTCTTAGCTGTAGATGAGCAATTTCGCGAGTGGAGTACAACCGCTAACCTGAGGCCTTTAACGTGCACCACGCGGTAGTGATACACGACCGCACGCCGGTACGATACTGATCCAGATGGGAACGGGCAGGGGTGGGGATTGAAGCCATGAGCCTGGGTTCTTCAGCGCGAGCTTTCGCTCCACGTGCTCCGAGCTGGTGTGCGCTATACTTTGTTTCACCTTATATTGTACCGCAGACAAGGCTAGAAGCGCGAGCTCACAGCGTTGGGAGCTACTCTGAACGCACGAGAGCTTGTGCCGCCGAGATGTGCCCTAGAGCAAGGAGCTCGCGCTTGTAGCCTTTCCTGCGGTACAACACAAGGTGAAACAGAGTATAGCCCAATCGGCAAGCGATCCCCCCCCCAAGCACTGTGAAGGTTATGAATGACACAGAGCTTTTCGATTTGAACCGCTATTCGCCCATCCCTAATATAAATTCTAAATGCAATTAGCATGTGTGTTTTATTTCAGGAATTATTTTATGGATGTTGTTGAGGACGAAGGTACGTGGCTTGGGGATGCACACATTTTGACGTTTTGGCAATGATAATACGGGCAGAAGGTGTATGCCCCCGCGTAAATATTACTATCACAGAAAAAGGAAAGACAAAAAACCTTCTAGATAATACTACGTAATACTTTACTTCGAACAATACATTCTACTCGGCCAGATTGCATTAGACAGCGCGTCTGCAGCGCCCTATCCTCCCCGAGCGGTATGGACACTACACGTCTGAAGGAACGCACGCGCATCGAGCTATCTACTGGGTGTTTGAAGGAGCGGCACAGTTGTTTAAATGGGCCGCCAAATTCGGTTTCTTAAAGGGATTGTCCGGTCGAAACCGGAGGTACTTAAGTTTTTGCGCTCGTTACGTCGAAGGAGCCTTCATGTAGACAAACGTCATTTTTATTTTGATATATGATCTCCCGTTACTAATTAAACCTTTCATGAATGTATGTACGAAACTGCACCCCAAATTTCGCGAGTGTAAATGGCTGACATCCGTAGCTGCTGCGTGACGACACAAAACGCAAAGGTGTGTCGGATGGTCGGGATAACAAGCGTTGGTCGACGGATGTCTTGTATTTTGTTTCGAATTATATAGTTCCTAGGCTGGGCCCAACTGAAATACGGTTCTTTTTATGCAGCTCCCAATCATGTGGATAAAGCGTCACGCCTTTTAGGAGGATATTACTCGAAAACAGCTATAAGCTTCGAACAAACGTATGCCGTTTCGCGCAAACACAACTGCGACGGTCACCGATCGAACTAGGTGCGCTTGCAAAGCAAAGGATGCAGATTTCGCCTCTGAAGCGGCAACTAGGGTACACGAAGCGGCATCTGGGTACACATTTCGGCGGATCCACGGGATCAGTGATGAGGCTGCGGGTCGTTCCCTCGGAGGCGATGTCCGCGGGTCGAAGGCAAACGGTGAATCGCTCAAATGCATGTCGTCACTTGACTTGGACGAGCTTGGTGAATCGTAGCCACGCTCTAATTTAACGTACGGGTCAAACACAATTTGGCTGCACGCGTGCTAAATACAACTTCTGGTATCGTTTCCCGGTGGTCTAGCTGTTGGTTTCGGTTTCGCTGCATAATCAAATTGATTAATCCGATTTTGGGCGAGGAGTGGATGGACGTAGTTTAATATCGTTGGCACAGCATTACACTGCAGCTTACGAGCCTTCTGTCCGCTTATAGCTCAGCTCGTAGCTCTCTTCTGTGAGATGATTGCTGCATAAGCGGGACCTCGATCTTGACGGGAACCCAGTCCCTACGCACGGCGACGATCCATTTTGCTCGTCACTGCACGTCTTGCGGACAATTGTGGAACGTCATGTCTTGGCTCGCATGTGCTGCCCGGTGGTTGTGGCACCCAACTGCGCAACGAAGATCTAATCCAACCACGAAATAAGTCGAACACAACAACAAAAACGAAACACGCTGAAGCGTTCAGTCGCAGGTCAAAAACAAGACAGAAATGCTTGCTTTGTGTTGTGTGACGTCAGAGCTCCAATGTTGCCACCAACAGCAGCGTTTACGCTAGAGTGCGATTGGAGCAGTATAAATTCAATTACTCATGCAGAAGGGCATATAAAATTAAGATATTGCACGTACGATGCGTTTCGAGGCAATAACGATGATATTCAATTGTTTACTCAAATACAAAATGTGACCGAACAATCCCTTTAACGTATCGCGCTACGACTTTGTGCAGCATTGCACACAGATGGTGCATTTCTTTTTATAAAATTCGCAGAGCGAACTTACCTGAGGAAAAAGTAACGAGAGATAAAGGCTTAGCTCCTATGGAAACGCAGCGAAGCCAGCGGTCTTCAAACATTGCGGCGCCGTTTCGCACGGGAGACAAGAGATGGCGCAAGCGGTCGCGGCGCCAACTGCCGCCAACGAACGAGCATACGGCGCCGAGAGCCGGCGTCTTTAGCGGACGAACTTTTCGACTCAAAAGCGGCGTCTGTTCCGCAGGCGGCGACGGTCGCAGAAACAAAAACAGGCACGGTAACAACAAGGAACCGCAAAACGGACGACATCAGTACCCCGAAAAAAAAAACAGTCAAAATATCTCGACAAATCATTTTTAATCGATTATGTGTCCATTCAGTATGTTTTATTAGTAAGGATGATAAAACAATGCATTGGCAACTGATATGAGAAAAGCTCGCGCCGCTTTTGAGTCGAAAAGATTGTCTGCTAAAGACGCCGGCTCTCGGCGCTGTATGCTCGTTCGTTTGCGGCAGCGGGCGTCGCGACCGCTTGCGCCATCTCTTGTCTCCCGTGCCAAACGGCGCCGTATTGTTTGAAAAGCAGTGGCTTCGCTGCGTTTTCATGGGAGCT